GAAGCTTTCTTTCCCAATAAATATTCTGCTCCCAACCTCCTTTTGTTCCTAAAATTCATTCTTTGGTTTTAGAGAACATGAACTCATCCAGATCAGATCAAGAGTTTCACTTACCTGTATCAATAATACAGATATACAGATGCACACCAATGCTTATAGAAGTATAGTCCGTAGTGGCTGAATCCTAGAAGCAGCCTCATACCCATCAACAGAAGGCTCAATAAAGAAGATGTGTTATCTATACACGGGGGACTACTACTTCAGCTATTTACAGATTCATCTTTCAGGTAATAAGATCAAAAGAGTTTTTAAGACAATTTTTTATTCTACTTACTTTTCATCTTCTATGCTTCATTTTCACCTTCACTGTACCTCTGAGGGAAATTAATCAAATATCCCAAGGAATTAGGAGAAGATTTTGGAAAAACTAACATGAAAATGCTCCAGAATTCTTCCTAACATTCTTACACTTTAACAGTTATTCTCAATCTTACTCTACATGAAAATCAAATGAGACTGAAGTCCAAGGAAGATTTAGTTGGTTTAGGGTGAATGATTTAATTGGTTTAGTATATTTTCAAAGCTTCCCAGTTGACGCTAACATTCAATAAGGGTTTTTAAAAAATGACTACGTTATAATAAACATGTCCATTATTTCAAGTACTAGTGCAGTTATTATGAAATTCAGGTAAATAAATGAGCAATTCATGGAAAAAATAGTAGTACCCTAATAGATAATATGCTTCTGTTTTTAAAGTATGCAAGTTAATAATGTATTTCTCAATCAACATTTATGACTAGTGCAGCATTTTGCTTTTCCTAAGACATAATTTTAACTAAATATATATTTCTCATAATTGATGACATCTCAAATTAAGTATTTGTGGCAATAGCTCATTGATCTTTCAGATCCATCCACAAAAGTAAGTTGAAGTTCAATGTGTCTCTTTGCTTTATTACTAGATCCCACTGTTACCACAGGATAGCACATGCTAAGAATTGAACATAATTATTAAGTTAAAATAAATTTATTAATTGAAAAAAACAATGACTACTCAAAGTTTATATTTTTATTTCAAGAAGTACCAAGAAATTCTATTGATTGAAAATTCACTTGCATGCATTATTTTGTTTTGTTTTGTTTTGTTTTACTCCTCCTTTTCTTGCTAAATGATTAAACAATATAATGTGCTTACTTTTGTTCACTTTAATGAACTTTTCTTTTAATGCAATGAAAGAAATGGGACCCTAAATTAATAATAGTAGATAATATGTAATAAATCCCTCTTTGTGTTGGGCTGTTTTAAATATTCATTTACATTGTTTTCTTTCCCTTTCCCCTTAATAGATTGAAGACTTCCCTCAGTAAAAAATGGTTGGTAAAAATCTGAGCAAGAAAATCCCTTTAAAAAGTTTTATTCAAGCATATCTGGCTCTTGAGAAAAGAGATTAATTGTTTTTGGGTGTTGAGTTAAGGGATCCCACTGAGGCCAAAGATTCAATTCTTGGTTATTCAGTCACCTGGGGAAAGCCATTTAAATGCTACCTTTCTCCTGCCAGAAAGAGCTGGTATTAGATTCTGCCCCCACAAAGTGTCTCAGAAAGTCACTCCATCTGATAGGCTCCCTCTGCGCTGTATCTAAAATTGTGTGTGTTCACTTTTCTTCTTTTCCATAGGGCTCTGTGAGGACAAAGTAACTTCTTGCTCTCGTGGATAGCAGGTAAGGACATGAGAGGTGATGAGAGAAAGACCGGATCATGAGCAGTTGGGAGACGTTGGAGCGGAAATCTGAAAGAAGGAATCTCTCCGCTGCTTGTCTCAGCTTTGAGGAGTAACAAACGATAAGGTGAAGCAGGGAAAATTTGATAAAAATAAAGTTTGATCTTAAACAAGAATGTTTAAAATACAAATGGGAATTAAAGTCTACCTGCATACTTCAGAGTCATGGACATTCTTTTTGGCTTCATTCATGCCAGCACAGAGAGACATGCCAAGGATGAACTGCTAAGGCTTAAGGGGAGGGTAAGGGAAGCAGCCCTCACGTCACTTGTCTCCATTAAGGGACACCAAAAGCCTCCCCGATCTTGAGAAGCACTATTTTAATCAATAATTTTTTTTTAGTGATAATCTTTTTATCCCATAATTAATGAAGCAATGATATTGAATACAAAGGTCACTGCCATTCCAAGTCATATAGGAGCCAGGGACAGAAAGCTGTGTGATCCTAGCTTTAATGGAAGCAGTTTCCTCAGTAATATATTTCACATCTCTTGTGCTCATTTTTTCTTTAATACTAGGTCCCAGTGCCTTCATGGAAAAACAATTGAGAGAATTTCAGTTGAGAGAATTTCCATATTTGACATTTTTTCTTGACTAAATGAGAACTCTAAGTTATTTTTAATTAACTACAGATTATTTTAGTTAACCAGCTATGGTAAAATTATAATAAATTCTATTTGGGGCCAGGGAGATGGCTCAGTGGAATAAGTACTTCCCTGGCAAGCACAAGGGTCTGAGTTCAATCCCTGGTTCCGAAAATAAATAAATAAATAAATTCTATTTTGATGAATACAACACATTAAAATGTAAAGATAGTTGAGGTTAATATAAATAATTTCAAATTTAATATTTTTCACATACCTTTATGTTACAGAAAAATATTCAAGTATATATAAAAATGTGCTCACAGAAGCATGCTTTTTATTGTTTGCCTTCGGTACTAACACGGTTTGTACAGACCTCTGGCCTTTTGCCATAATTTTGATATTTTGTCGATCACAGAGTTTTCTGTTAACTTTGAGTTTTACTGCATGAAAATGTTATTTTTGTGTTTGCTGAATATTCCTGTATTTTCCACCAAAGGTAAGTGCCTTGCTGGACTAACCCTAGTTTCAACCCTGCTGCTCAAAGCCTGTTAAGTGTTGTGCATAGTATGACAAACAAAAGCTTCAAAGCAGAAAAAGTTGCATTTGCTTATATTTCATGAGTTCACTTAAGCAAGCTGAATCTCTTTTTGTTTAATTTGAAATGAAAATGACAAGTAAGACCTGATTCTAATGCAGCCATAAGGGCTACTGAAGGTACAGTATGTAAAACAGTGATCGAAATGCCTGGCAAAAGTAGCTTTGACTCTGTGAAATGTATTACTGCAGGAATGTACTGAAAGTGAGAGCCCTTTTGTCAGATCACCATGCTGCCTATTGTTAATTCAACTCCCACAGTGTTCTTGCTGACTGGAGTTCCAGGGTTAGAAGCTTTCCACATCTGGTTTTCCATCCTTTTTTGCTGCTTCTGTGTGGTGGCCCTCTTGGGGAACAGCACCATCCTCTACATGGTGGTGATGGACCCCAGTCTCCATGAGCCCATGTACTATCTCCTTTCCCTGCTGTCCACCACTAACATGGGCATCACTCTTTCTTTTCTTCCTACAACACTGGGAGTCCTCTGGTTCAACACCAGAATCATCAGCCTCGATGGATGTATTGTACAGATGTTCTTTCTACACGGATTCACACTCATGGAATCCTCTGTGCTTTTGGCCATGGATTTTGACCTCTTTTTTGCCATCTGCAATCCCTTGAGTTATGCTGTGATTTTAACTAACTCTAGAATCATCAAAGCCGGGGTGGTGATATTTGTATGCATGCTGGTCAACCTGATGCCCTGGCTCCTGCTCCTTAAGCGTCTGTCTTTCTGTGGTCGTAGTGTGCTTTCCCACTCCTATTGCTACCACCCTGGTGTAATTAAGTGTTCTTGCTCAAGTATCAAGGTCAACAGCATCTGTGGCTTAGTTGCTTTCATTCTGACATCAGGAATAGATATCCCCTGCATTTTCCTCTCCTATGTGCTAATCTTCAAAACAATCCTCAGCACTGCCTCCCCAGAAGAGAGGCAAAAGGCCTTTGGCACCTGTGTCTCTCACACTGGTGCTGTTGCAATCTTCTACATCCCCTGGATCATCCTGGCTTTGGTACATCACTTTGGCCATAATGCTCCTCCCTATGTCCACACACTGATGTCAAATCTCCATTTCCTATTTCCCCCCATACTGAACCCCATCATATAAAGTGTGAAGACCAAACAGATCCGTAAGGCTTTCACCAAGATGTTTCCAACCACAAGGTAGACTGATTGAAATGGTCTGAATAGATAGGCTTGTTTTCTTCCTCTCTTTCCCCTTCCTTCCACATATTATCACATCCTACCAGGAATCTTCTTAGGGGCGATAACACAGGAGCACATATAAAATATCCCTGTCCGCGACTTCCGGGAGCCCCCAGACCCAGTCCTAACCCAGGTCCGGTGAGTGTGCGGAGAGTTTCCTGCTACCCTGCGCCGGCGGGACCAGTCCCAGCCCAGGCGCAGCGTGGGCCGGACCCTCTCCCAGCCCC